GCTAGTTTACTTTAATTCTTCAGATTTTGAGTTTATCTTGAATCAACAATGCGACCTGGTACAATGCCAACCCTCATCTTCATTAGCTGAGATGAAACACTGATCATCCAGTTACTTGAGATTTGTTCTGAATAATTGTTTTCCAACTCTTTTGCTTCGCCAGCCCTGTCTTTGAGCAATCACTGTCTTTCTGCTCTCTCTGCTCAGACGACTTTGACGCGAGGTTTAGCACTTTTGCCAACACAAGTGTAGTCAGAGATATCACGCCTTTGTGTGATTCTATTACTATGTTCTGTATAGATTGTTAATGTTTTCCTTTTCTCCCATTTTCTCTGGCCTAAGTTGCTTTAATATCTTCTGCCTTCTGGATTTTATCTGTGAATTATATGCACTGCGTACCAAATGCAACCCTTCATCCTTCATTAGGCTGAGATAACACTATCATCAGTTCTTGCAGATTTGTTCTGAATAATTTTGTTCTAACTCTTGTTGCTGTTGCCCAACTGTCTTGAAGCAATCACTGCTTGTCTGTCTCTTTGCTCCAGACGACCTTTGACGATGTTTAGCACTTTGCCCAACACAGTGCATCAGGATATCATCTGTTTCGCATGGTTCTTCTATGCTATGGTATCTGTATAGCATTTCTCTATGGTCTTCCTGTTTCTCCCGTTTTCTCTGGCTAAGTTTACTTTTAATTCTTGCTTCTGGGTTTTATCTTGACATTAAAATGGCACTTGGTACCAAATGCCAACCCTTCATCTTCATTAGGCTGAGATGAAAACACTGATTCACAGTTCTCTGCAGATTGTTCTGAATAATTGTTGTCAACTCTTGTTGCTTCGCCAGCTGATCTTGGCACTTACAGTTTTCTTGCCTGTCTCTCCTCAGCACGACTTTGACGATGTTTACACTTTTTGCCCAACACAAGTGCATTCAAGGATATCATCGTTTTCGCCATGGCTCTTTATGCTATGGTTCCTGTATTAGATTTCTCTATGTCTTCCCTGTTTCTCCCAGTTTTCTCGTGCTGCCTAAGTTTACTTTTAATCTTGCTTTCTGGCGGTTTATCTTGAATTAATTCAATGCACTTGCGGTACAAATGCCAACCCTTCATCTTCATTAGCTGAGATGAAACACTTATCATCAGTTCTGCAGCATTTGCTTCTGAAATAATTTGCTTTCCAACTCTTGTTGTTTGCCCCAGCTGTCTGAGCACTTAATGTTTTCTAGCTGTCTCTTCCTCAGACGATTTGACGATGTTGAGCATTTTCCCCTAAAGTTTTGTCCTTCAGGAACTATTCATCATCATGTGATTGCTTTGCCTTCTACCTGTATGTTCATTATATCTATTCTCTGAGGGTTTTCTTCGGGTTTTCTGCAGAGCTGGCCTTATAACTCGTGCCTTCCTATCTTTTCAGGTGCAGGTTGCCTGCTACTACCGAAGGCCAAGGTGTCACTACCACAGCTGGGTAGGCGCATTTTGTCACAGGCCCGTCATTATTGTAACCAGCGCAAAGTCCTACCTGTGACACTGTCCTCTCCAAGTTCTGTGCCGCTTGCCAGCCATTATGGCCCTGCTAGGGTGTTCTCTCCCGCACAGATATTGGGCTGCTTCGCCACAGTGCATCTTACCGACCCTCGAGTCCATTAAACCAGGCTATTGGATGGTTGGATCATAGTCTACTCTTTTCCTTTCAGTTGTGTTTACCACCAGCCTGGAGCTGACCAACAGCTATATGGTTCGATGAACGAACGAACAGATGTCATTCCAGTTCAAGCTGCATTCTCTTGATCCGTTCACACAGGATTTTTGCAGTATTCAGCCAAGATATTTTTTATTGTGCCACGCAGTTGTAAAAAAGGTAAGAATCTGCCTGTCTCTAGCAACTGCCCAATTTTGCTTTTTAGTCATGTGGGTGACTGTCTTGAAATCCCAATAGCATGTCACAGAGATCATAGTTCCAGGAAAAAGATTAATTGTCTCAGTCTCAAATGCTCTGCAAATTTTTTCTATGAATCTTGGCAATGTGCACCCAGTCCTTTTGAGACATTTCTTCCACAAACTAGCAACACTTGAACATTTCGTTAGGTCATGCAAAATCTCAGGTGCTCAAGGCGAGAAAGAATGATTACAAAAACAGATGTCTGATCACAAATCACAAAAGTGTGCTCTTATCTGCAAATCTGACAAGAGCATCTCTGTAGTTTAAACAGAAACGTATCATCAACAAACATGCCCTACTTCCGTTGTACCGGTTGCCGATTTCCAACCAAGGTGTAACTGCAACAACTATCGTAGTTTCCACTGACCAGGCAATCTATTGATCGATCTTTAAAAGCGGGTAATTGCCTTTCGTTGTCTTGCGCAGAAATGCTTCCCTGAATAGTTTTGGTACACAGCACTTAACTTGAATGACGTCGAGACGTAGGAGCTACTGCTTACCTGCGAGAAGAAAAAAGTCAACTTGGCAGTTACATATAAGTGGCTGATACCGCCCATGATCGGAATGTAATATGATCATCATATAAGTGTAATAGGCTACTAATGATAACCCATGCAGACGTTTACAGGGCACAAAAAGAAAAATATACGAACCTAAACGATTTTCCTTCACGGCTTGCCATGCTTGTGCTTGCCGCTACTATTGCTTCACTTTTTATAGATACAAGATAATGTTGCAGACCGTCAGATTCTCTAAAACTATATCTCTGCCGCTCACAAGCAATGAAT